CATCCCCTATATAAACACACACTTCATCCAATATATACACACTTTACACATACAAATCCTCCCTGAAACACATACATTACATCCCCTGCAAACACATACTGCATCACCTACTGTGTCTGCAAGATGGTGTTGAAATGAGTGGCACTACAGGCATTCTCTGGGCCTGCCTTGTGGGCAGACTTGGGGCATGGTCCAGGGGGCCAGGCCTTGGACTCTGTAAGGTGCATCAAAATGTCTATTGGCCACCCTGGTTCACATTATAGTTTTTTTTCATTACTTATTCAATTTTTTTTTTCCTATGCCCAAACAACTGTATGGCACTCTATTAAACATGCTACAGAATGTTAGACCTTAGCATGTCACTTATCCCAGCTATACCTGCAGGCTCATATCTGCTTTTTACCTTGTGTTGAGCTTTTTAACACTTATCTCAGGAAGTTAAGCCAGTGGGATGAACATAGGTATGCTGAGAAGAGAGCCATGATAGTTAATATCATGGATTGAAAAAAAAACATGTACATGAATTCAGCATCAATGTGACTTTTTACTCAGCCTAATTAATTAAGGGTCTAAAGTTTAAGAGAACATAACAACTCAGTAGCAAATAATTTAATTTAATTTTTTTTTAAAGTCCAAAGAGAAGATCTCGTATTTTACCAATATCGTTAAAAGGAGAGGGTTTCTTCAGAGAGCAAAATATCAACTGGATGTGGGGGAACATTTCTCACATGTGAATTCTGTTATCCATTTGATAAATAAAGGCCATTATGGTAGAATTAAGTTAATGGTCTCCAATGAATTGCTTGATTACACTGCGTAACAGGTTAAATGAGGTCGTTCCAGCAGCAATGACCATTGATTTAAGTAGAAATTAGATGTGACTATTTTAACCAGAGATATATCAATGTTTCTTAAGGTGTATTACTCATAAGTCGCATATAAATTTAACTAAAAAGATGCCTAAAATTTGTATCTTATTCCTGACAATTTCCAGTTTAATGAATAATGCTCTTCACATATCAAATGTTTATTTGATTTCAGCACAATAATATTACACAGATCACAGTTTACACTTACTCAATCACTATTCCTGATGACATTCACCTATATACAACCACTGATGTGGTTATGGTGCTTGAAGTGTCCCAGAGCCATGAAGGTGTAATCTGTTGCACTGCTTTAGCATGATTTGGCACTTATTTGCAGGTTTGCCCTCAGAAATTTTAGGGCCCCTAACACTGTTTAAGGTATGGGCCCCCAGGGCCCACCTCCATATCTGCCCACAGAGCCCACCTCCAAGCCTGCCCACAGGGCCCAGCTCCAATTCCACCCACAAAGATGCATTGTGTGTTTGGTGGATAGAAGATTTGTGTTTTGTGGATGCAGTGTGTGTAAAGTGGACATGGCATGTGTTAGTGCATTTGTAGTGGATGCAGATGCAGTATGTACATATTGTATATATATATATATTTATGTATATATATATTCAAGCAGGTCTAGGTCCTCACTTCGCGTTCAGGAATGATTTGTTCCAGTAGCCCACTTGTCGTCAGATGAACTAGAAAGAAGAAGAACTAGAAAGAATGTGGAAAATGAAGGCAGAAGTAGTCCTAGTTGTAATAGGAGCACTCGGGCTGTGATTCCTAAGTTGGTGGAGTGGCTTCAACAGACTCCAGGTGAGACATTTGAAATCACTGTCCAGAAGAGTACAGTTCTAGGAGTTCTAGGAGTTCTAGGAAGATACTGCGCAGAACCCTCAAACTCCCAGGCCTCTGGTAGAGGTCCCAAGAATGAGGAATAAACATACCACCCAGGATGGGTGAGAAAAAACAATTAAAATTTTATATATATATATGTGCTTGGTGCTAAACCACACAAAAAAACAAACAAAAATGCATGAAAAGGGCAGCACTCCAAGAACTTAAACAAAAAAGTAGTTAAAAATAATACTTAGCTTTCATTAGTATATCATTAAAAGGTGCCAACATTTCAGTACCGACAATTGAACTTTCATCAGGACAAAGTACCTGTCCTGATGAAAGTTCCATTGGCCAGTGGCGTACATACCGGGGTCGCAGGGGTCGTGGCTGCGACCGGGCCCGGCGCACCAGGGGGTCCGGCCGCCCTGCGACCCGGTATGTATGCCACACACTCTAACACACACACACACTCTAACACACACACACATTTAAACAAAAAAATAAATAATCCCCCAGCCTCCCTACCTGTGGGAGAGCTGATGGGATTCCCTAGAGTCCAGTGGTGACAACCGGCGGGCAGGCTGGCGGGCGCGCGAGGGAGCACTCTCCCCTGTGTGCTCCCTCTTCAGCTCCCTCACACACCGCACTGATACTGGAGCCGGAAAACTTCATCTTCCGGCTCCAGCATCAGTACGCGGCGCGCAAGGGAGCTGAAGAGGAAGCACTCAGGGGAGAGTGCTCCCTCGCGCGCCCGCCAGCCTGCCCGCCGGTTGTCACCACTGGACTCTAGGGAATCCCCTCAGCTCTCCCACAGGTAGGGAGGCTGGGGGGATTATTTATTTTTTTGTTTAAATGTGTGTGTGTGTTAGAGTGTGTGTGTGTGTGTGTGTGTGTGTTAGAGTGTGTGTGTGTGTTAGTGTTAGAGTGTGTGTTAGTGTTAGAGTGTGTCAGTGAGTGTGTTACTGTGTGTGTCTGTTACTGAGTGTGTTAGTTTGTGTGCGTCTGTTGGTGAGTGTGTGTTTTGTAAGTGAGTGAGTGTGTGTCTGTCTGTCAGTGAGTGTGTATGTATGTCTGTCACTGAGTGTGTGTCTGTCAGTAAATGTGTGTGTCTGCGTCTGTTCATGAGAGTGTGTGTCTTAAGCACTTACCTTTCTCCAGCGAAGTACTCCCTTGGCGCTGGGGATCTCTCCGCAACGATCAGCCTCTCAGCTCCGAATGCGCATGCATGGCAAGAGCCGCACACGAATTCAAACCGACCTATAGGAAAGCATTACTTAATGCTTTCCTATGGATATTCAGCGTCTTCTCACTGTGATTTTCACAGTGAGAATCGCAGAATCTCCTCTAGCGGCTGTCAATGAGACAGCCACTAGAGGCTGGATTAACCCTTAGTGAAACATAGTAGTTCATTGAGCTGATGTGATCTGGGTGTCTGTAGTGGTCCTTTAAGTGCATGTATATCTGCATGCACTGGCGTACACACCACGGTCGCAGGGGTCGCAGCCCTGTGACCCCTGCGACCAGGTTCCCGCCGCCATGTGTTGCGGCCCCAGCCCGCGCAGAGTAAGCACACGGGGGAGGGGCATGGATCAGTTTTCGCACTGGGGCCCCATGGGTTGTGTGTACGCCACTGCCATTGGCGGAACTGAAACGTTGACACCTTTTAATAAATATATATTCACAGTGAGGGGAAAAAAGTATTTGATGCCCTACTGATTTTGATAGTTTTTCCACTGACAAAGAAATGACCTGTCTATAATTTTAATGGGACGTGTATTTTAACAGTGAGAGACAGAATAACAGAATAACAAAAAAAAAAATCCAGAAAAACTAATGTCAAAAAAGTTATAAATTGAGTTGCATGTCAATGAGTGAAATAAGTATTTGACCCCTTCAACTTAATACTTGGTGGCAAAACCCTTGTTGGCAATCACTGAGGTCAGATGTTTCTTGTATTTGGCCACCAGGTTTGCACACATCTCAGGAGGGAGTTTGTCCCACTTCTCTTTGCAGATCCTCACCAAGTCTTTAAGGTTTTGAGGTTATCTTAATGTGCTTTTTCTTGAGTCACTCCTTTGTTGCCTTGGCTGTGTGTTTTGGGTCATTATCATGCTGGAGTTTTGTTCCGGCTGTGCGGCCAGGTACTGCCGCATTGTGGCGTGTCCTGCAGTGTGGAAGGGCCCCGAAGGTTTAGGGGTGCCCATTTTCAATGCTCTGGCTGAAGGAAGGAGCCATTTTCAATGCTCTGGCTGAAGGAAGGAGGTTCTCTAAGATTTGACAGTCCATCGTCCCTTTGATGCGGTGCAATCGTCCCTTTAAAGCCTAATATTTCCACCTCCATGTTAGACGGTGGGAATGGTGTTCTTGGGGTCATAGGCTGCCTTGAGATCATTAACAAGATTCTGCTGTTTAGTTCTGGACTGATTCCTCACCGTTCTAATGATCATTAAAACTCCATGAGTTGAGATCTTGCATGGAGCACGAGACCGAGGGAGACTGACAGTTATTTTGTGTTTCTTCCATTTGCGAATAATCACTTCAACTGTTGTCACCTTCTCACCAAGCTGCTTGGCGATGGTCTTATAGCCCATTTCAGCCTTGTGTAGGTCTGCAAGTTTGTCCCTGACATCCTTGGACAGCTCTTTGGTCTTGGCCATGTACCATCAAATCTTGGGTGAGAACCTCCTTCCCTTAATCAGAAGGTTCGAGTTGCCAAACGTCAGCCTTGAAACCTTAATGATTTGGAGAGGAGTGGGACAAAATCCCTCCTGAGATGTGTGCAAACCTGGTGTACAACTACAAGTAACGTCTGACCTTTGTGATTGCCAACAAGGGTTTTGCCACCAAGTACTAAGACGAAGGGGTCAAATACTTATTTCACTCATTGACATGCAAATTAATTCATAACGTTTTCACATGCGTTTTTCTGGATTTGTTTTTGTTATTCTGTCTCTCATTGTTAAAATACACCTGCCATTAAAATTATAGACTGATAATTTCTCTGTCAGTGGATAAATGTTCAAAATCAGCAGGGGGCGTGGCCTAGCAGCAGAGTTGAATGGCGGCTTAAAAGCTGAGCTCCTCCGACCCCTACACTGCCGATTAGCAGCCACAGCACAGCACCAGAAATAGCAGCCACAGCACGAGAAATGGGGAAGCATACCAAGACGGGGGGCACCCCTAAACCTTCGGGGCCCTTCCACAAAGCAGGACACGCCACAATGCGGCAGTACCTGGCCGCACAGCCAGAACAAAACTCCACAGGGGACAGCCGAGGCCTGCTCACACTCCGGAGCCTCGATGCCAAGCTCCTGCTCGCCGGGGCGGGAAGACAGGGTGGACACGCCAACAACAGACTGGCTCACCTTACTAAAAGCCTTACCCACCCGAGAGGACCTAACTCAGGTGACCTCGGCCCTCCATGCATCCATAATAGCCGACCTGCAGCGGATGAGAACTGATAAGCAGGGAATGGCGGACCGCATGGCCCGTGTGGAAGCCGACCTTGATGTCTTAATGACGGCACAAACCTCAACCACCGCAGCACAGAAGCACCAAACCGTACAGCTGTAGGCAATGGCCCGCCACATAGAGGACCTTAATAACCGTGGGCCGCAGGCAAAACCTGAGACTGAGAGGTCTACCAGAAGGGTAGGAAACCCCCGCACAACTCAGGCACTGGCTTACCACCATATCCAATGGCCTCCTAAACCAACCCAAAGACACACATATTGAATTCATCTGAGCACACCGAGCCCTGCGGCCCAGAAGCCCACCAGAATCGCCACCACGAGACGTGATATGCTGCTTGGCCCTACACTCCCTAAAAGAGGATATCTTATATGGATCATGTAACCAAACCACCATCACCCATGAGGGCCACCAACTACAACTATTCCTGGACCTCTGCCCGGCCACCCTGGGATACCGCAGAGCCCTGAAACCACTCACCCGAGTCCTGGCAGCACAGAAAGTGCATTATAGATGGAACTTCCCAACTAGACTGACGGCAATCACACCGGGAGGACCCAAATAAATCCGCACCCAGCAGGACATGGCCCTCCTCCATCAGAGCCGGAAATACCGCTGATGCAGAGATGGAACAGAGCCAGAATGGAAACCGTGTGACCAGCCGGAACCCCACGCTACGCCCTACATACCAACCGAAAACCAGGGCTGCTGGGTGCGAGGCGACCTAACATACAGTCACTACCTCGCTACCGATCAGCCCAGGGTCAAGGGGAGCCCCTCCCCACTTAAAATGACAAGCTAGAGGCCCACTAAGGCAGACCCCTACACCTTAGCCTTACAGTCCTACTCAACGAGCCTAAAAGCCATGCAGCCCCGACACGAATCATCACCCTGGGTTAGACACCCTGCATACCCCCACCACCCCACAGTAACTTAACCGCAGGGCCCAAACCACTAAGCCTGACAGCCCCACACACCCACCACCAGAGGGGAAACCAAATCTAACAAAATAAAGGGGTTCCCGGGATGCTGGGCAGACATTTAAAGGGGGGAAATGCCCCCCCTGATGTAATAGTTATCTCCTGATGTGGCTATACAGCTTCGAGGCAGGGGGATCAGGGGGCGACGGGGGAATACTGTTATATTATATATATTGAAAAAGTGGAAAACACCCAGAATACGTGTAGGTTACTATATAAAATATACAACAACCTGATGGAAAGTGAAATCCGTATGAATTATGTGTGTAAATCACAAAGAGCGTATCTCTCAATAACTTGGAACTCCATGCAATGTTGTTATCAATCCAGGAATAGGGATGAACAGGAGTAGTTATAAATGAGTAGCCAAAAATACAAATAAAACAATTAAAACAATATAAAATAAGTCCAATATAGAAATCCAACGCGTTTCGTCCTGTAGGGATGAAGTCCTACACCCTACAGGACGAAACGCGTTGGATTTCTATATTGGACTTATTTTATATTGTTTTAATTGTTTTATTTGTATTTTTGGCTACTCATTTATAACTACTCCTGTTCATCCCTATTCCTGGATTGATAACAACATTGCATGGAGTTCCAAGTTATTGAGAGATACGCTCTTTGTGATTTACACACATAATTCATACGGATTTCACTTTCCATCAGGTTGTTGTATATTTTATATAGTAACCTACACGTATTCTGGGTGTTTTCCACTTTTTCATTATTTCACATTGTTTCTTGGGTGTCTGTGAGGTACACCTAGGAATTCTTCCAGTTATACGTTTTATTTTGTAGTGTATATACTATTTTCTGTTTATATTATATATATTGTTGAGTACTGTTATTGGTTATTATTACTGTCTACTGCTTGTGTTGGTCGTGGGGCCCGTGGGCATACGAGACAGCACTCTCCTCCTACCACTGGCGCCGAGAGGGGCAGGGGCTCCTGGGAGACCTCCCCCCGAGCGGAGCCAAGCTCAGTGCATGCCTCCTCTCCCCAAAATCTGCGGGGGTTCAAATACTTTTTTCACTCACAGTAGATAGACATACATCCATACTGACACACAGGCATTCAAATGTGCTATTCTGTCCTGCTTTTATGATAGCTATACATCCCAAGTTTAAAATAAATGTTAGACTAATATTTTTAAAACAAAATGTGTTCGGAAGAAAAGTGGTAATCATATATGGTAAATGCTCTGTTCAAATGACCCCATTATCAAATATCTGAGTTCTCCTTTCAGTTTTGTCATTGTTGAGATATACATAAGGATTATACCTCAAATTAATGTATTACTTCTAATGACATATTTGGCCATAGTCCATGACATCCTACATAAATGATTTCTAGCAATGGATAAAACTCTTAAATATTTAATATGCATTTAATATACATAGATATAAAATATGAGATTATACATTTCCAGTCACTTTAAATAAATTATCTTTAAGAGAATATGAATATATTCAGTATAAAGATAATGTCGATGTTTTAAACAAAAATAAAAAAATGGCCATTACAATATAAAATATCAAAATATAACTGTGTCAGTATATGTAGGTGTGTGTGTGTGTGTGTGAGTGTTGTAAGTTTAAAAATAAACCCAACTTTCAAATGTATGAATTTTATAAAAACCGTGTTACACCTTGAGTGTGTAGCTTCTTGCAGTAAGTTCCCAAGTTTGTGAAATTTGTCATTCATAGTTTTATAACTGGGGCTATATATACAACAATACATGTCAAAGGTAATTATTACTTTCAGAAAGAAGGGAAAGATTTGGCTAGAGGATATACCTGTAGAGTGTGACAGTCAAGAGTTGGCTGCGCAAGGAGAAGAAAATGCTTCTGTGTGTTGTCTGTAAATGAAGTGGTAGGCATATAGCTTCTCCAAATTTTAAAAAGAATGTGAAAAAAGCTGAAGTGAAAGTTAGCTAAAATAGGCAATCCTTCTCTACAATTGTAAACTTCAATGGACCCTACCCCATGTTAGAAACATAGATGGAATGGAGCTTACAATGACCACTTAGCACTTGTTTACAATTGTGTTGCTGCTTATAACAGGACAGCAGGGCCGGTGCGTCCATAAGGCAGCACAAGTGACCGCCTTAGGGCACCAGAGCAGTAGGGTCTAAAAATCCAAATCCCCTGCCTCTGGCTGGGAAATCTGATTTTTCACCTCGCCTTACTCTCCCTGCAGCCTGCAGCCGTGGAGTCGACCGGCCTCTCCTGATGATGTCATGAGGAGGGGGTGTGACTTCTATTACTCTTCTCCCAGGACCGTTGGGGAGTCTGGGAGAAGAGCAGAGGAAGTCACGCCCATTCCTCCTGACATCATCAGGAGTTGCCAGTCAACTCTACTGAATTCAATCTCCTGATCCTGTCCCACCCTGGCCCATGGTAAGCCTCAGGGAGGGGTGAAACACACTTTAGTTTTTTTTATCCCCCTCCTCAGCCCCTGTCCCCCTTCTCCCCTTTCTTCAGCCTGTGTCCCTTTCCTCACCCCCTGTCCCCTTCTCAGCCATGTCCCCCTTACTCAGCCACTGTCCCCCTACTCAGCCTTTGTCCCACTTCCTCATCCCCTGTCCCTCTTACTCAGCCCCTGTCCCCTTCCTCAGCCCCTGTCCCTCTTCTCCAGCCCCTGTCCCCTTCCTCAGCCCTGTCCCCTTCCTCAGCCCTTGTCCCCTTCCTAAGCCCTTGTCCCTCTTCCCCAGCCACTGTCCCCCCCAGCCTCTGTTCTCTTTACTCTGCCCCGGCCCCTTCCCAAGCCCCTGTCCGTCTTCCCCAACCCCTGTCCCTCTTCCCCAGCCCCAGTCCCCCTCCTCAACCCCTGCCCCCTCCACAGCCCATGCCCCCTTACTCATCACTGTCCCTCTTCCTCAGCCCTGTTCCTGTTCCTCAGCGCTTGCCCCCCTTCCTCAGCCCCTGTCCCCCTTCATCAGCCCTGACCCCTTACTGTGCCCCTGTCCCCTTCTTCTGCCCCTTCCTCAGCCCCTGTCCCTCTTCCTCAGCCCCATGCACCACCATACCCTCACTACAGCCCAATAACATCCCCACTACAGCCCCTCTCCCCAACTTGCAACTCATATAACCCACACCACAGCCCCTTTCCCAAATTGTAGCCATCAACCTACTTCAGCCCCTATCCCCCTACTACATTTCCTAACCCCCCAATTACAGCGCGTATGTACCCTCCACTACATCCCCGGGCTTCCCACTACAGCCCACCGCCCCCTACTACATCCCCTAACTTTTCAATTACAGCCACTGCAACCCACTTCCTGTGCCATTCCTGAGATTAGGCTCTGGATCTGCCCCTGCTCTGTATGCATGTATATGTATGACTATAAGCCTGTGTATGTATGTCTTTGTATGTCTATGTCTGTATGACAGCATCTGAATGTCTCTGTAGGTGTCTGTATGTCTGTGTTTGTATGACATTGCATCTGTATATGTAGATTGGATGGCTGTGTGCCTGTATTTGTTTGATTGTGTGCCTGCATATCTCTGTGACTGAGTGCCTGTATGGTTGTGTGTTGCTATATATATCAAAGTCTATATGATATAGAAAAAGACACAACATGCGCAGAGGGTAGAGAGCCACAGAAAGGGGCTGAAGGGGGGAGGAGAAAAAATAATGGGGGGGGAGACACACAATTGGGCTGGGGAAAGATACACAAGGGGAGTCACAAGAGGGTCTAAGAAATAGTAAAGGTTGGATAAAATACAATAAAGAGGGTAAGAAAATCAAAAGGGGAGTTACAAGACACACAGGTGAAGACACTTTTTTTTTTAAAGGGGACGGCGAAATGAATTTTTGCATGTATAGCCAAAAATCCTTGCACCGGCCCTGCAGGACAGTTGTTACTCTCTGAAAGGCCTATTGCTAATTTTAAAGAGCAAAGACTGCTTGTGAGTTACTTATCAACTACCTGAGGATATTTTCCTTTTTTTTTAAATATGGAATATGGTAAATCGGATAAAAAATACAAACTTTGCAAAATATTACATGCAGTAAATATTTATTTTTATGTGGACTAACAGATAAGAAAATAGGCCTATTCACTCTTGTGAGTTCATATCACAGAATCTCAATTAGTAAAATTAATACAGTTTGGTAGCATTCAATGAGGGAATTCACTAAATATATTATGTATATATGGCATTAAATTTGATAACTACATTACACATGTAAGAAAAAATGAAAACATGTATGACAATGGGGAACATATATGTATGAAAGTGTAGTTATGAAAGGTTTAATGGTTACTTTGCTTACCACAATTCACTCTGTCTCCTCTTCCATATCCCGTTCCCGTTCACTCTGTCACTCAATTACATCACTCCCATTCTTATGCCACCTCTGTTTTTTTTACTATCCCACTCCATTTCATATTCTATATCCTCTTTCTATTTCTGAAACTCTGCACCTTATTTATTTCAAACGTGTTGAGGAAGTGACCAGCACCACCTGAACTTAAGGTTCTGCCTTGAGAGCACCTGCCATATATTCCACCTCGAGTTGGTGGTATCCATAGTAAGCACAGACAGGTCTATATCCTTTTGTCACTGTCACTTCCAGAGTACAGTATTCTCTGACAGAAAAATGTCACAACCATTCCGCTTTAGAACAAGCCATTACTACTGAGTGAATACCATGTACAGAAAAGACCAGTGGCATTTTCTGAGATTTTATTTTTTGTTTTGATTTATATGTATATTAAAATAGGCCATCCATGCAAGGAGTAAAGCAATGACAACATACAACTTATGATGTCCTAGATTTTACACCATAATCTAGAACATGTTTTCCAAAAATATTATTAAAGATTACCTGCTCAGTATATATCACAGCAAATTTCTGTTATTAACATATACATTTGCATTGGTATAAATTGTTTATTTAGATATATTGTGCAAATCTTTACTTAGTAAACATGACTGTCATTGCCAATTTCGGTCAACTTCGTACAGATATGCCTTTCAGACCGTATTGTGTAGGCAGAAATTGATCCAGTTAAACAGATAGTACTCTTGAGTTATACTGCTCGTTGGAACTGTGCTGTGGAATCTTCATTACAAGGAATCAATCAACCTTATCTCACCTGGAAAGAATCCCTGAGCTCTAATGAACTATATTTCAATGTTGATCTGCATCAAAACAAAAGCGACTAAATTACAGAAGCAACAAACACATTGAAAACAAAAATAGCCCCTATTCAAATAACTGCTTCTATAAAAAATAAAAGCCTGAAAGAAATTTATGGTAGTCATATAAGATTTGTGTAGAAGCATACATTTGGCCCATATTTAAAGATCTACATTAAGTAATATAGCAAAAAGTTCAGTGCCAAATTTTAGAAAGCCATGACTATACAGCCCCAGAGATTTTCAAAACCATGCCCCTATTTATTACATTGATTTTATTTAATTAAGTCTGGGCTATATTTCATAGTTAGAAAACATGCACATTACAATTTAGTTCAATTAGAACAGCATTTTGTGTGCTCCAAAACAGACAATTGCAATGCAGATTTTAATTTGCCATAATCGTGTCTGCTGCCATTCAAATGAAAGCTCACTTGTGAGCTGATGTGCAAATTGAAAGACATCTGAATAGCACGAACATTTAAATGAATACCATTTTCTCACTATAAAAGATGAGTAAACACACACATTTAACACAGGTGATTCAGCTATATTCTCCTTTTACCTCTAAAAAAAAATGACGTGAAAGAAATCATTCACAAAAAAAGAAATGTTCACAAAAATATTCTCACTTTTAATATTTGTAAAAATAAAGAATATTGGTGTATTTCAACACACACAAATAGACATATATACTTATTGTACATGGATGTACACATATACTTTCTTTCATATACTAAACATCTTGGCTTTAGAACTTCAGCCTTATGTTGCATCAATCCTGAAAGAGTGATAACCATTTTTTACTGTAATACAGATTTCAGTGACGGGGGGCGGGGCCGGGCCGCCGAGCCGACTGGAAGCAGACTATCATGGCCCTGGGCCCGAGCTCCAAATATTGGCATTAAAACCGCACATGCACAGCTCTAAAGTCGGATATTTTGACATGCTGAAATGGAGAATCACCCCAGCTCCAATTTGATACCAGACAAAGGCCTACTTGCCTTCACAAGCCGGGACATCGGCGGCATTTGAGTAAGATCCAGCAGCCGGCAACCTACCCAGATGGGAACACATACCGGGGTGTGGCCCCGCTCCCCCCAGCTGATGGGGGTAATCCTGGCCACGTGGGGACAGAACACACCAAGGTGGAAGCCTCCTAATTGGGTCCACACCGATCCCCTGTACTTGCAAGGGCTGCCAAAATAAGACACGACAGAAAACTAGAACGAGGAGACGCTGACACATACACAGAGGGGCACCCCAGCACATACCTGTAAACCCGGGATAACCTGGGCTGTGGACGAACTTCCCAGACTGCCCACGAGCCAACATCATGGCTGCCCGACTTCTGGGCTAGGTGGACACCCGGAGGAAATTGTCTCCACTGCTGCAAGCCCTGTGGGACTGGACGCTACGTACCTCCAGCGGACCGGTGGATGAGAGGCCGTGCGTCCTCTGTCCTGAAGAAGTGGCCAGTTCAGGACACCCCATGTACCTACCGGAGTAACAGAGGCCCAGGGGAGGTGCAAAAGAACACTGGATCCTTGGACTCTTGAAGGAGGCGCAGGAGCACACGTTGCCCCCGGACGCCCACTGTGCCACGATGCTCGCGGGGGCGGCCTGGGCGGAACTGGGGGACCGGTCCAGGGCCTGACACCCTGGGAGACCTTATGTGTGTGTGGCGAAACCGGCCTCGCCACGTGTCCTTGGAGGGGGCTGCTTGCCCGCCTCTTGCCTTTGGACTATGGACCAGACCTTATGTGAATGTGTTATACCCCAGATAGGAATCCCATGGAGCCCATTCGTATGAAACTGACTGTAAAGACTTTGGTTCCATGGCGAATAAACTGTATTTGTGTGGTCCGAGCGCCATTCACTTAATAATGTGCGCTCAGACCTGAGCTATCTGGGGATATGTGAAATGTCTGTGTGTTATGTGTAAAATGTGACTTTATGTATTTTAAAGTGTTTTGTGTCTTTTGCAACCATGTGCTTAATGGAGTCTTGTGTCTGTCCTGGGAGATAATTGAATTACTTATCTCCAGGATAGAAGACTCTGAAACTGGTTTGGGCCAGAAAGCCATGCTTCATTTAGTCACAAAGGACTTTTTACTAACTTTTGAACCCCTTGTCTGATTTGTGCCATTTTTGAATATGTTGTTCCCCTGAATGGATTGATTGTGAATATGTAATTTTATGTGAATGTGATGTATGGTTTTGGAGTTATGAAAGTTGGGTAGAAAGTATGTTTTAACTGTATGTATAATTGAGTTTCCTCTCAGGATAAGGGGAGGGAATATGTGGGATGTAACCGTGATGTGATTGGTTGTTTTGTAACGCCCTGTGGGCTGTACTATGTTTGTGGATTGGGAATAAAAGAGACTGTATGTGACAGTACAGGGAGTTCCTGCTTAACCCTCAAAGTGAAGTGTCGCCTCATTATTGGGGGAAGGATTTATTGTATGCTGTTCCAGTTTGACTGCTAGGAGAGTAAACCTATTCGTATGGTTCCTATTCAACTGTCTACAGCATTCATATGTTTGAGAGAAGGTATACGCTTCTCTGGTTCGGTGATTGTGGTGTCTGCTGCAGTGCTTGGAGTCCTCAGGAAGCGCTAGGAGCATCTTTCAACGGAGGTATCCAGTCGGGGTGCCAGGCGATCCGTTACATTGGTGGCAAGTGGTGGGATGGCGTCCTAGTGCGAGGTAAAGCAGCTCAGAGACACAGTTCGTGGAGTTACAAATTGAGGGCAACGCTAGCACACGTGCAGCGCCCCTGGGAGCAGAGGTATCCAGCGACTTGGAGCAGACAAGTATGGAATGCTCTGGCGATGATTGGATGGCCGAGGTGAGGCAGCGAGTGGCCCAGTATGGGGATGATTTACCCATGGAGGTACGCCGGGTGATCTGGAACCAGGTCACGGGCGAGCGAAACACAAGGCTGGCCCGAGAATTCCGGCTGGCGAAAGAGAGAGAGTATGCTCAGCGGAAGGAGTGTTACAGCAGCCGAGTAGAGGCTGCATCCGGGGAGGCTAGCCGTCTCCCCCTGAGGCGGCCGCAGGAACCCGAAGTAGGGGTCCTCATAGACTGGTCCTGTGAGGAACCACAACAGGCAGGTGGAGATGGGACCGGCCCAGATCCCCAGCAGCAGCCGGAGTTGCCAGGTGCGGAAGCAGGTGGTCCTTACTCGCAAATGTTGAGGGACCTCACAGACTGGTCCTGGGAAGAGCCACAGATGGCAGGTGGAGATGGGACGGCGGTCTCTCTACCGGCCCTACAGGGATGCTGGGCGGTCGGCCCAGATCTCCAGCGGCAGTGTGAGTCCCAGGGAGCCGAAGGGGTCGTCCTTCCTCCCCAGCTGCAGTGTGTATCCCAGGGAGCAGAAGGTGGCGTCCTTCCTCCCCAGCGGCAGTGTGTACCCCAGGGAGCTGAAGGTGCCGTCCTTCCTCCCCAGCGGCAGTGTGAGTCCCAGGGAGCCGAAGGTGTCGTCCTTCCTCCCCAGCGGCAGTGTGTACCCCAGGAAGCAGAGACTGTCTGTCTCGCACCCCAGCCGCAGGACAAAATATTGAAAGGGGAGATAGTTGGTCCCCCTCTCCACCAGCAAAGAGAGTGTCAGGGAGAGGAGCAGGTTACCCCCTCTCCCCAGCGGCAGTCTACAGTTCAGAGAGAGGAGCTTGTTACACCCTCTCTCCAGCTGCAGCCTAACCCACCAAGGGGAGATGTTAAGCCCCACAACTATGCAGATGGGACTGTAGTCTCTGCACTTGCAGCACCAGGGGTAGGGATGGTCGGTCCTGTCCCCCAGCCACAGAGCAGTGTATCCAGAGGGGAGACAGTCGGTCTCCCCCTCCCACAACCAGGCTCCAACCAGGCTACTTCAGTGGTGGCACTGGCACCCGGGCAGAGTACCGCTGGTCTCTGCCCACTCAGCAACCCACCAAGGCAGTCTACCAGCCCCCCGCACAGCCGTGGTGAGGCACCTGGACATGGACAAGTTGCTATTTTATCCAGGTGTAGTAACCAGTTATTGTGGGTGGGCGGTATTGCTGTTTGTGCTTCGTGGGTGGGTTGCTGGACTAACCAGGGCACTGACCGGCAGGAGGTCAGATACCCTGTTAGTTGGATGGTAAAGGGGAGAAATGTGGCGAAACCGGCCTCGCCACGTGTCCTTGGAGGGGGCTGCTTGCCGCCTCTTGCCTTTGGACTATGGACCAGACTTTATGTGAATGTGTTAACCCAGATAGCTATGCCATGGAGCCCATTCGTGTAGTTAAAGACTTTGGCTCCATGGCAATTGAACTGTGTGAATAGGATCTGAGCGCTATTCGGTAGTTTTGTGCGCTCAGATCCCAGCTATCTGGGGATATGTGAAATGTCTGTGTGTTATGTGTAAATGTGACTTTATGTATTTTAAAGTGTTTTGTGTCTTTTTGCAACCATGTGCTTAATGGAGTCTTGTGTCTGTCCTGGGAGATAATTGAATTACTCTCCAGGATAGAAGACTCTGAAACTGGTTTGGGCCAGAAAGCCATGCTTCATTTAGTCACAAAGGACTTTTTACTAACTTTTGAACCCTTGTCTGATTTGTGCCATTTTTTAATATGTTGTTCCCCTGAATGGATTGATTGTGAATATGTAATTTTATGTGAATGTGATGTATGGTTTTAGAGTTATGAAAGTTGGGTAGAAAGTATGTTTTAACTGTATGTATAATTGAGTTTCCTCTCAGGATAAGGGGAGGGAATATGTGGGATGTAACTGTGATGTGATTGGTTGTTTTGTACCTATGTGGGCTGTACTATGTTTGTGGATTGGGAATAAAAGGAGCTGTATGTGACAGTACAGGGGAGTTCCTGTTTTAACCCTCAAAGTGAAGTGTCGTCTCATTATTGAGGGAAGGATTTATTGTATGCTGTTCCAGTTTGACTGCTAGGAGAGTAAACCTATTCGTATGGTTCCTATTCAACTGTCTACAGCATTCATATGCTTGAGAGAAGGTATACGCTTCTCTGGTTCGGTGATTGTGGTGTCTGCTGCAGTGCTTGGAGTCCTCAGGAAGCGCTAGGAGCATCCTTCAACGGAGGTACCCAATCGGGGTGCCAGGTGATCCGTTACAGTGTGCAACCCTTATGATCCACATGTTGTGTGGGTCTCTGTCTCCCATACGAGCTTACGGAGCACATTAGCCCTACATCCACAACTCCTTCCCTGGCATTAATTAATTTGTAGGGGCCAAACTCGGCACTGTCCTCATTCATCCAGCCAGGCTATACAGCCTTCACATAAGTTATCTGACCAGTGTACTTTCTCAATATGTCAACCGCACTATATGTTAGGCCACGCGGCCTTTTGTTCAAAAGAAAAAGGGAATATTTTAAAGTCCTCATTCATGCAACGGTTTATAATGCATACTATGTGTATACTTTCCTTTTATTTGTTCATTTTTCCTCATTCACACTTTATTATATTAGTTTGGTACGACATATATTGGATGGTAATAACCTATGATTTAAAGTTAATTAATGGACCGCAGTTACTAGCCTCATATAGACCACACCACGCCTAAGCAGTACATACACTGCCTTTATTATCCATTGCAAAGAGGCTGCTGACCTCCAGGCTTGGGCTTCGTGCAACTTAATTTAATTACCCGGACACAGCCTGTGTAGAACAAAACGCTATACCTTCAGTAGGGGTGTAGGGGTTTGGAGAACTACATTCACTCTGGGGATTGCTATATCACAATACTTCCCAGAATATAATCACTAGATCTTATAAGAGCTGTTCTAGGAAGCAGCGATTGATGGAGGTACCCAGTCGCAGTGCCAGTCCGTTGCATATGCCATTTTCTCTAGGCAGACTGATATACTGATATAAGTGGGGAGGCTACTAGTAAGTTGGAATGTCGAACTATTTCAGATACCTAATACAGATTAAGGAACAGCGCACACATAAAAATATAGTTTTACATTTTATAAGGCTACTTAAAATCACCTACCTCAATGAACAAATATGAGGATTCAGTTCCACTATATGGTCATATTGTGTTAAGCCCACCACTACTTCACAGTACTCCAATATCTATGTTTCCTCCACTAATGTATACATGCCTGTCAGAAGTATTTGCCAAGGTGCAATCTTCAGCCTCAAATAGATAAATAAACACTCACTGGACTTACAACCAAGTTTAAGTATTTATTGTGAGTACAGTTAATTTACATCAATGTTTCAGTCCAAGACTTTTAACAGGATGGAATGAAATTAGTTCAACAAAGAACCTCCTGTTGTATACAGCATAAATAAACACCAAGAATCTATGTTTAATGCTGAAGAATTAGGCTAAAAGGTTGTTGTTTGCATATGCCCCCCAGAATTCCTTGCAGGATTAAAAGCAATGCATATGTGAGATTTCTGTGGAAAAAGCAAGCTGTATGGCTTGACTGATGTGTGCATATATATAGTCAATAAAGGTCTTTTAACTGATATTTGTATATTTTCTTGTTGAAATGTTATTATTTTAATAGCAACTTGGAAAATAAAACCAAGCCCTTTAATTTGACCTATTATTTTTAAAATATAAGTAAAACTGTTAAATTGTGCTTTTAAAATGACATCATCACTGTAACGGATCCCCTATACTCCGACTGAGTATATTCGCTGTAGTTCTCCCAAATCCCAAGTGAAGCAGCGATTAAAGCTATGAGCTGCCCAAACATTAGCCAAGACTTGATGAAGGGTACAAGAATACTGACTTTATAATGACCAGATGGCCCACTTTTAAACACAGACCTATTCAATACAATGCAAGCCCCTCCCAAAGATCTCTGGGCGTGGGAGATAATTGCGTTAAAGACCTGTAAGCTGATTTTCTCCCAGGAACAGAGAGGCAACATAAAAATAGAAAACCTAATGCCCCAAAACATCATAAAAATATATATTAACTCCCCAAATAGCCCTGATCTGAGCGCCCAAGTTCTCCAAATAGCACCAAGATCCATGCAGTATAGGGGAAATGCCACGGTGTCAAAGTTGTAACCGGCCACACACGTGGTCCTATGCCCAAAGTGTTTTGATATTGCTTTAATATTGTACCAAGTTGTATTTGGTGGGTTTTTATTATTAAGTTACCTGGGGGACCAAGGCACCCCATTTATAAATTGTCTTGGTGGTGGCAGCGTTAAAATAGAAATATTTATATCAATATAATTAAGTGTGGGTGGTGTTAAGGGGGATTTTATCATTATTTCCGGTCTAGTGCAGACAAATAGTGAACTTTAACCCTTTCACCACCACAACTAAGTATGAAAGTGTTTTATCAGATGTTGAGATTTTTTTTTTTTAATTTTAAAGTATGTCATGGGGCATTGATATTATTACCCAACTCATCGATAACTATTGTATTAACCTCACAACTGAGATAACCCTTGTGAGAATAACACTTTTTACAATGAGGTTTAAAAAGTGTCTACATCATCATGGGGACGCAACATCCATAATGTCCTCCACAAGCCCAACACAGCGAACCGTAGCAGTGCAAGGGTGTCAAATATTGACAAGGGAGGCTCAAGGGGACCCTCCTCCACCCTACAGGGACACAGACACTCACAACACACGAGGTACCGCAGCCGAAATGGAGGCATACAGACACCACCCGCCCACCGCACCGCCGGCTCCACCAAGACAGCCCTGAGGGACAGAGATATACAGCCAAAGATGGATCCTTGCTCCAGCCCCGACCAGGGATGCCACAGCCGAACAGTACCCGCATGTACAAGGCCCAACACCGGCAGCAGCTTCATCGGATGGCGAAGGGGATCACAGCTGCACCTCCCGCATACCAGAGGCTCCCGCTGAAAGCCGGAGTCGGGTGAACCCCCGAGACTCAGGTCCCAGAGAATGTAAGCACCAACCACTGTGGACTCACGATGCGACTTACCAACGATACTACCCTCCTCTTTGCCTTTTAGCCTAGGGTGTATTTCCCTCTAATCTTGCAGAGTTATTCCTGTACCTAATCAGTGTTGAAGGTCTTTTATATATCTCCTATAGATCTCTCATTACAGACAGCTGGCTACAGATGTCCACTTACTGTATAGGAGCTATATACCAACCAGCTACTGCCATACTGCAAAACATGCAATTACGTTATAATAACCTAGTATTGTAAAGCATCAATCATTATAGTTTTGTACTTAGCCTGTATACCCTCATACAAGTACAAAAAATGTTTTCTTAGTGTTACAAATATAAGTTTTAACTGAAATGCCATTATACTGTTGCCCCTGCAGTTTTGAAGTGACAGAATACCCTTGATACCTACACTTTCTTCCCATCTGCAGCCTATACAAACTACAAGACTAAACAGGATGCTAATTACTGTTGTCTTTATTTCGATTTAAAAAAAACAAAACTTTTTATGAATCTTGCTGTTGTGACCAATATAGCGAGGGAACAGAATTATTCATAGTCCTTTGCATTGTTCTTGCAGAAACACTAGCCTACACACTAAATCTATGTGGCATTAACACATCTTGCTTAAGACTACCTATATATGCCTAGATTTGATACCTATGAGAATATAATGCTATGTCAGACCTACTGTCTGTGTTTTTTGGTATTGGCTACAGGGGAACACACTGGGCTTTACTCATGTCAGCTCATGCTGATAATGGGCTAGCCCAGTTAAGAGACCATCACCCTTTCTCACTATTGCTAGCATGTCACTATCTTATAGCATTTATGTCATAGAAACGCTCATACACCTACTCAGCCCTAGAGGCAATACTACTCTTGTAGGCTAGAACCATGATTAATGCTTAATCTTTATACATATATTCCTGATAGTATTCAAATCGTCTACTCTACTCCTCGTGGCTGGTTGCAGCTAATGTTGAAGCAAATGTTATAGATCTCTTTAACAAATCTCTTAAAAATTGTGCTGTTAATTCCTGCAATGTTACTGTTTATCTTGTGTGGTTCCATCAGCTTGTATCAGCTGTTGTGGTGGTATAAACTTGTCTGTAATTCTTAGCACAACAAAAATAAAGAATTAAAAAAAAAAAAAAGTGTCTACAGTTTTTTTTCATAAACAACCGAGCAGAATGTTTCTATAGCATTCTATACTTTTTACTCTGACTGAGCTCTTTTTAATTTGTGACGATTGAGATGAGTTATCACTCAATGAAAATAAAAAGTTGCCTCCCCAGTGAATTAAAGCAACGGTAATATACAACCTAAAAAGAGAGTTATAAAAATGAACTTTGCTGATACTGCCACTGGGGTTTGTGTAGAAAAAGATAAAATGATTATGAGGTTGATATAAGTTATAAGAACCATTTTTATCATGTGGTGTGTTTGTTAGAGCAAATGCTCTTTACGTATATCAATAAAAACTCAATCAAGGTGAGAGCTACTGTATCTCTACCATAAAGTCCTTTCAGTTGGCATGAGCGATAACTTGTTGTTTTGCTGCTAAACGAAAATAGAAATGAATAAGCCTGAGGAAAGAGAGAAATCTCCACTCTGTGTGCAACATGTGTATCTAAGTGCAGGAACAAATCTGAAAAGAGCCGAATCATATTTAATTCCACCTATCAGAGTCTGGGGATCTATCATTCATTTGCGATTCATCATCCTGCTCCCGAGGAGGTATGAGAATGATATCACTGCCTAGAAACACAATAAATTGTGTACCTGACTGTGCCACAACAACTTGTATACTTCCGTTGGCAGGGAATGGATGCATTTGATCTATCATGGGATATATACATCCACAAAAGTCAGCTAAAGAGAATATTAGAGGAGCTTTTCTCTATTTTTTTTCCTTCTTCACAATCAATTTTCTATAGCCTTTTGGTGCTTGGGAACACAAGTTAAAAGAAGTAAGTTGGGATTTTAAATTCTTTGCAATATGTTCCAAGGCTTAATGCAACAAATGGATAAGCATAAGAAATCCTTCAAATTATTTATAGAAAAATGCTATTTCAACGGGTTGAAAATTAGCAGTAGAAACTCATATTTCTTGTTCCGTCATTTGTTTCTGTCTTAGTAATCTTTTTATCCTATAGTTTTTAGGCTTTAGGAAGTCACAAGGAGATCACAAGTTAAAAAACAGTATTTAATCTTTAATTTGCTTTAATATCACTAAGGTCATTTAGCATTACAAGGGTTAAGAACTTGTTGAAATTATTTCAGTGATTTATTTTGACTATTTTACTACCTTAGGCTTAGCCGCGCATATGAATCCTGCAATATACAATTTGGCACGCCAGCTTAAATTAAAATACACATTTTACAGATACATAAGTTGGACAAGATATAATAAACACCAAATAAAAAAAGAGTTTTAGAAGTAACTTTATCACAATTACACATGCAGCTAGTTGGGTAATCCATATTAGACAGTTTGGAATCTGGTTGCATATGTTGACTATAAAAGAGATTTTAGAATGTTGACATGTAATTTTTTTTAAATTAAATTATCACCTTATGTTAAATATGTCATGATGAAAATACCAAATCCTCATGGCCGAAGTAATCTAAAAGACTTCTCAAACATCAGATATAACATCATCGGACCTTTATGAAGTTATGTGCTGTGAACCCATACATATTCGATGTCTCTAAAAACTCCAAGATAGAAGATTTAATTTACCATGTGAAAACATACTTTAAAGATAAATTATCATACTTTGTCTTATTTACTATTCTGTTTCATAATTATTTCTCTTCATAGAGCATCATTTTTGGAAGGGTAAAATACCCAAACTATAGAGATGCCTATGCATAGAAAAATGGTTTGTTTGTTGTATAATCAATATATGTCTGGGAATCAATAACTTTTCTTTGTCAAAGAAAAGTTAGATTTCAACTGCCAACAGCTTAAAGGCAAAAAATATGCCTTCAGTATTTTGCACAGATGCCTTTTTTTTTTTGCTAATTGTATTCTGATCAGACACGCCTGTAAAAGTTCAAAGCCATTTGAAATGTGTTTGAGGTGATGCTCGGTGTTAATCAGGTTATAATGTAATATGATTCTAAAGACTCTCCCGGGACACAGCTTACTCTTCAAAGACAGTTGCGTAGCTGACCCTTGACCAAAACTCCTGCTGTAGATCATCCCTCTTTTGGTGTCTAGTGATGTTTCTTGTTACACTGCCTTTTTTTCCTTTGTAAAATGTGCTACAAAGTTTCATACAATTATTCTTTCATTACAATGGCTGTTATCAATTCATATCGTAACTGTCATCTGACCCCCTTCCTGCCAGAAGGATTTGCAGTGGATTAGAGCACAGCGGGGATTGCATTCACTTCTCTCTCTAGTCTAGTGAGTAACTCTTCTTCTACAATATGTTTAACTCTTTTAAAGCTAGAGGCAATAAGATATCCTAGAAAATTATATAGTTTAGTAAAAGAAAAAAAAATCACATAAAACAGATAACGCTTGATAGCTTTTGATGAGATAACTAGACATTCAAAACTATTTATAATAATGATTTTTAAGCATGCAAACAAGACCTTAAAGGGACACTCCAGGCACCCAGACCACTTCTGCCCATTGGAGTGGTCTGGGTGCCAACTCCCACTACTCTTAACTCTGCAAGTGTAATTATTGCAGTTTTTTATAAACTGTAATAATTACCTTGCAGGGTTAACTCCACCTCTACTAGACAGCCACTAGAGGGCACTTCCTGCTTCATAGCACAGAAAACCTGTGCTAGAGCGTCGCTGGACGTCCTCACGCTGTGTGAGGACCTCCAGCGTCGCTCAATTCCCCATAAGAAAGCATTTTCAATGCTTTCCTATGGGGAGCTCTAATGCGCATGTGCGGCATTGCCCACCAGCCGACGTAATGCAGAGGAGGAGCGGCGGCGGAGGAAGAAGCAGCAACGTGGGACATTTTCTAGGGGTTTTCACCCCTTCAGCAACCGGGGATTGGGAGGGTGAGGGGACCTGCAGTGCCAGGAAAACAAATTGTTTTCCTGGCACTGTAGTTTCCCTTTAAGACTGGTTTGGTATTTTTATCATGCATTTAAAAATGTATCAAGTAATTGAAAAAGGAAAAGAAAAGTAAATTAAAGCTAACAGATGACTTGTTTCCATGTTAGCTTTAATTTAGTGCATGATTACTAAAGTGCATGATGACGACGTATATAATAAACTGTTTCAGAGTCCAAAGTGCATGGAGTACATCACATAAGGTGCTTGTAACTCACTAGATAGGTGATCAAGAGACTATATATATACAGTTGCAAGAAAAAGTATGTGAACCCTTTGGAATGATATGGATTTCTGCACAAATTGGTCATAAAATGTGATCTGATCATCATCTAAGTCACAACAATAGACAATCACAGTCTGCTTAAACTAATGACACACAAAGAATGAAATGTTGCCATGTTTTTATTGAACACACCATGTAAACATTCACAGTGCAGGTGGAAAAAGTATGTGAACCCCTAGACTAATGACATCTCCAAAAGCTAATTGGAGTGAGATGTCAGCCAACTGGAGTCCAATCAATGAGATGAGATTGGAGGTGTTGGTTACCGCTGCCCTGCCCTATAAAAAACACACACCAGTTCTGGGTTTGCTTTTCACAAGAAGCATTGCCTGATGTGAATGATGCCTTGCACAAAAGACCTACGATTAAGAATTGTTGACTTGCATAAAGCTGGAAAGGGTTATAAAAGTATCTCCAAAAGCCTTGCTGTTCATCAGTTCACGGTAAGACAAATTGTCTATAAATGGAGAAAGTTCAGCACTGCTGCTACTCTCCCTAGGAGTGGCCGTCCTGTAAAGATGACTGCAAGAGCACAGCACAGACTGCTCAATGAGGTGAAGAAGAATCCTAGAGTGTCAG